GGAGAAAGAAGAGACTTTCTAACTCCCGTAAAGATTTACAGCCTCAGACACCCTATGCAGGGTCACTATGAGTCAGAACCGACTCCACAGCACACTACCACCATCACATTTGCTTCCTGGCATGGCACTGTAGGATAGGCACTGGACTGCTAACCACAAGATTGGCAGTTCAGACCTACCAGTTGCTCCTTGAAAACCCTGTACAGGGTCTCTATGAATCTGAACCGACTGGGCAGCGCTTGACAACAACCACGTTTCCTTCAGTGTTCAATCATGAGCAAAGTGCATGCAGTCATGTTGTCTTCCCCAGTACAATTTCTGGGAAGTGATGAGCAGCTGAATTTTGTTCCCAGGATCAAGGGTACCAGTTCTTTGGAAGCTTTGTCCCTGCTGGAAAGCTCACTGGATATTCTACCTGAACTGTGAAGGAAGTATGGGGGTTCATGAAAGTGAATGCAAAGTTATTTTAATCTAGATTCACCTGCAAACTATCTAGACCCCAAGACCACTTTCAAAACATTTTGGGAGTAGGTAGGGCCTTGTAGAGATACATTTATAACTTGGAAAAATCACGCTAGTAACACTAAATGTTAACAACACATAAAATGTTTCCTAATTGGCCTAATAACATGTTCAGTGCTTCTAGTTTACTTCCCAGATTGTTGCATAGTGCCTGGGGTCTTAATGGTTCAAAAGCCCATCTGAAGCACGGTAAGACTGGTCTTGCTTGAACTGGAGCAATAGAGGGAGAAGAAAAGTCAGGAACAGGAGGAGGGTATGTATGGAATGTAATTGCCTCCCATGACCAACTACCTCTTTTGCCAATAAACCCAGGAAAACGGATGGTACCTGGCTACCACAGCTGAATATTTTGATGGACATTTCATCAAACAGGAGGAAATACATAATTTCTAATTCTCATGGAATCCAGACTTTGGAGCCACGGCGACTTGGATGAACCCCTGAAACTACTGCCTGCCCTGAGATGATCTTTAAACCTTAAACCAAAAACATCCCCTGAAATCGTAACACCAACTAACAGTTGAGCTTAACTAGTAATGAATGGCTTCCTCGAATATCCTGCTCTTTTCAGAACTTTCTCTATGGATCAAATTGACAACAGCACCTCCGAAGATTATAGACAGCAACCTGAGGGGGAAGTGAGTTTATGCAGAAATGGTGGATTTGGTTTATGTTTTGCTGTTTATGCTCAACAACAAAATACTCCATTTTCACATATAGAAGAGTTCCAGGCACACATTATTAACTGAAGCAATAGGAGTGCGGGTACGCAGAGAAAAAAACACTCCTCAGAAAAGCACTGTTTAAATACACTCTATTTTATTTTGTCTTAAAATAGTTTAACCTTTATGCTACAGACTTATTTCAAAAAACAGAAAATCTTATCTTGCACCAAAAAATATATATATAACACTCTGTTTTATTATTTTTTTTTTCTCCAAAGACCATTAAATACTAAGTGGAAACAAAATCCAAATAATGAATGTAAAGAACCAAATTTTCTTTTAAAAACTAGAGTTGCACATTTTTTAACATTTAATTCTAAGCAATGATTTGTCGTCACTGCATCAAGTTCCACGCTCAAACTCCAGCAACAGCAGATGTGTTAACCACCAAGTGCATTGCTTCCTGGCCATACGATGGCTAACCTTCCATTTTCATGGTAAGAGGAGCAAAAGGCCCCGAGGACCTTCGGACTCTTTAAAAAAAAAAAATAAAACAACAACAAAAATATTTCCTAGTTATCCAGTGATTTTTGTTTTTAAGATCACTACCCTTTAAAATTTGTTAAAAGAATAAGAAATATGTAGTGTTTTAAATAAAATGAAAACAAAGAAAAAATAACAGCATTGAACTAAAATACATGATTATTTTAAACAAACAGTGCACAATCTGAGGAAGTCTGGTTAGGGTGTAATAATTTTTACATATATGTGGAAGTCACATCATACACATACTGGAAAACAGGGATGAGAGGCTATTTGCCTGGAAAAAAAGACAAAACAAAACAAAAAACAAACTCTAGAACTAAAAGACAAAACTGTGTCCTCAGCTTTTTCAAAAACCTTGTGAAATAGTATAAAAAGCAGGCAACAAATTAATTTTTAAGTTACCTATGGTGCTAATCTGCTTGAAGTAACAAACAATTGATTAAGTTAGCAAATCAGATGGTTCATATTCACAGCTGGTAACAATACAGGCAGACTTCATGGGGTACTCAATAGTAAAGAATATGGAGTCTTTTCAGTCTGGCCCCTTCCATGAGACATGAAGAGAGGACTACAGAAGAGCAGCAGGCACCTGGGCCAGGGCAGTCATGACAACTCAGTAGCTAGGTGACTGCTCTGTGGTTCAAACTGGACAGGAGATGCAACCAAACCTGTGGTGTAAACCCATCTATGTATGGCATAAGCACACCATTTTAGCAAAGGTACTACACTGAATAGACATTGTCCTGTGAAAAGCATGAAAACAAAACAAACAAAAACACTTTGGTTAAAGAAAAAAAACACCCATATATATACATATACACACACACACACATATATACATATATGTGTATGTATATAGATATATATATATTTTTTTAAACCAATATATATGCATATATAAGGAGCTCTGGTAGCATAGTGGTTATGAGTCGGGCTGCTAACCTCATGATCAGCAGTTCAAAACTATCAGCAGTTTCGCGGAGGGAAGATGAGGCTTTCTACTCCTGTAAAGATTTATAGCCTCAGAAACCCTATGCAGAGTCAGTATGAGTTGGAAGCAACTCTCCACGGCATACCACCACCATATGCATATAACATAATCCCTTTGAAAGAAACTTCAAATATCACAGGACTGCTAATCACAGAGTTTTCTCATTAATTTCAGAAGCCACATCCCCACTCTTCGGATTAAGCAATGAAAGATTTCAAACCTAGTCTCTCTCCACAGTTAGTCAAGTGGAAAAGGAAGTCCCAACCTAGCAGGGGTGAGAGCTAACTGTCTCAACTACCCTCAGCCTTCCCCTTTTGACATCTTAATTTCTGAATCTGCCTGGTCGTCAAATCAGGCAGTCAGGGTGCTGGACAAGAGACAAGGGGAAAGTACAACCTGATGTGGAAGCAAAAAGAGTCAAGACAGTAGTCTGGTTATCACTCCACTCTCTGCTCCCAATACACCATGCACACAGCACACTGAAAAAGTTCTCTCTTTAGAGAGTGACCTTTAGGGACTAAAGGAAATATGTCATGGGCAATCACCTGCTATATGGAATTGGAGAAAATATACTGCGAACATACAAAAAGGTAATGCAAAATCACCTTTTTTTAAGGGGCTCTGCCCTGATACTGGGGGAAAAAATAAACTGCAATAACTTCAAGTCATATAATCCACTCATTCTCCTCCCAATGATTTTCCTGGAAAACACAGACCAGAAATTGTACATTTCTGCTTTGTCTAGCATGTTAATTCAAGTAAAAAAAAAGTGTAACAGCAAAATTCAATAAATTAATCTTAAAGTAAAATGTGAAGGTCCAAGGGTACACCAGCAGTGAATCTGCAGGTCCTATTTCGCGCTAGCCTTTGGATCTTTGGTTTTTGTCTAGAATCATGGGCATGAGAGAGACATGAGGTGCTAAAATTGGAGGTTCACGATCTTAAAAAATAAAAAATAAAAAAATAAATTAAAAAGCCTGATCTATTAAAAGTAGATTGGAGGAGAAATGAAAAGTTGGCCAGAACAGAGGCCAGATCAAATGAGATGCTATCATAGAAGATCAAAAACTCATGCTGAAATACACTCCAATGGAGGAAGGAGAAACAAAGCAGCAGGGACTTAACTTGTCATTAAAGAAAAAAACAAAAAAAGGCCAGGCAGGAGGACCAGGCAGGCTCTGAGGCATGCGCATGCAGGATGTGTCTCATTCATCTCAGCGGGGGGCCCCACAGCACCCACCCCACACAGTGCCTTAGCATATCAGGCACTTGGTAAATGTGTTCATTGAATGAAAATTGAACTGGAACTGTCTTCTTCGTGCTCTTATGATAAGCAAGAGTCACCAAGGCATTTGGAAAGGGAGACACAGGACCATCACAATGTTATATAGTTAAAATGGAAAAACAATACAGACTGTGACAAACAAAAGGTGAGGTCTTCTAAGACAATATTACTTCGCTCCCCCTGTGCAGACACAGTGCTCTACCTCTAGGTATTGCTGTGAAAATAATTCACTACACTACAACACAGTACAGGAAGAAGGGAGTGACTAATACCACAACACTCCAATGCTGGCATTTCCTGAATTCCCTGAAATTCCCACTACCCTTTGCTATTCCTTTTAGATATTAGAAAAATTATCATGCCATTAATGTGCTTTACATCTGATTTCTTAGGGTATATTTTTTATTTTTCCACTTTCAGAAGGTAAAAGAGGAAAATACTCAGATACAGCATCAGATCAACTTGGATTCGGGTGTTACAAGCAGCTGTGACACACAGATCTGAAAGGAATCTAAGTAAAGAGCCCAGTGATGAAAGGTGGCACTTTCCTGTCAGATTTGCAAAGGCTTGTAGCCTCACCACCCACATTTCCATATCTAACCTACAGAACAGAGTCCTGTGTGCTCCTGACATGTAACAAACCAAAAAAAAAAGACAGGGAGGAAGAGTCCCCATGGGGTCTATCTGTAAAACCTCGTGGTGGGTATCACTCTGAAATGCCTCTGCCCCGAGGTGACAGGGTCCAAAAAGTTTTATGAATTATTGCAATGAGGAGACCTTATTAGTAAGTAAAGTCACCTTACCAGTATTTATACATACAACAGGGCATTTCAGTTATTTGTGTTGTGGGACATCAACCAGGAAAGAAGGCAGAAGTTTTAAGCTAAAAGAGAAAAGTAATACTCCGTCTTCTATTTTTAAGGACAGCTTTTAAATGCACATGCCCTAGTTGGTGCCACTAAGGACCTGACTGGTATATGTTCAAATGCCCTAAGGTGGGAGGGAGTGCCAATAGGGTGGGCTGATAGTGGTCAAGTCTAGACATTAATTTCATTACAAAGAAGAATAAATACTAGATCCAAAAACTGAAATCCATTTTATCTGGTAATTAAATATTCTAGAAGGAAGGCAGTTAGTCCTAAGACTAAAAGTCACCAGGTAAAATAAAATTGTCTAATAAAAACTCATCATTTTCATATTCAGATTGAAAGAAAGAAGGAAAGAAATTCTTTTCTTTGTTTATAAGTTATTTTCCTAAGTGACTTCTGTTAATTGAAAAAAAAAAGGGGGGGGGAGGGGGTGTCAAAAATTTCCATGAGTTTCATTCTACAAATGCCACAAACAGCTTCTGAGGCTGAAGCTATGACAATGAACATCTGTGCCACAAAGAGGAGGAGGAGGAAGTGGGAGGGAACAGTGCAGAGGACACACAGTGACATCCTATTACAGTAGGTATTTACGTCTGCTATCCTCATCCAGGGTCAGGTCAACAACCTCAGAAGGTGAAGCCCAAGTCTGCTGGGGAGTCACAGCAGTCCATGACTGTGTTTGCCGGGTGCTCACATACTGCGGGCCTGAGCCATGCTTCCAGGAAGAGACACTCTGAATCACACCTCCTCGAGGATGAACACACCTGCAATTGACAGCAACAGCAAAAGCATGGTTAATCCCATCACAGGGAAAATACGGCTTCAGCTGTATTGGTCGATACTTGGACAATACAAGATCAGGAAGCCCACATTCAATAGCCTTCCCTCCCCTCCCTCCTGTCTTCTACTCTTGCTCCAAGGACCTCAGTCAGAAACGACTGAATTGAGTTATTTCTACAAGTGTATTTACCTATGCTACAAACAAATACATCCATGAATGTGGCAGGGCATACAGGAGGCAAACTTAGGAAAACAGACATAACCAGGTACCTTGACGGAATGAGTCAAAGGCCTGGGGCTCAAGACCATGGTCTCAGAGTACACCAAGGCCACGTAGCATAACATAGTTGACAAAGACAACGTTCTACATCCTACTTTCATGAGCAGCAATTGAGGACTTAAATGTGCACAAGCAGCCATCTAAGGTGAGACTATTAATGTCTCCCCCCATCTGGAAGAAAAAAGAGTGATGAAAATTGAAGATGCATGGAAACAAGTAGTCCAAAGGACTAATGGACCACTTGAACATCAGCCACCATGACCCTGGAAACAAAAGGACTAGATGGTGCCCAGCTACCACTACCATCCACTCTGAAAGGGATCACATTAGAAGTCCCTGGATAGAGTGGGAGGAAAAGTAGAACAAAATTCAAAATCATGAAGAGACCAAGCTTACTGGTCAGATGGAGACAGTAGTACCCTTGACTATGGTCCTTGGTTACCTTTCAGTTCTGGAACTGAGCTCAACAACAACACAAGAGGGAGAAGTACACTTCAGAACAAACAACCATTTCAAATCATAAGGGCAGCATCATACCCAAGGCAAAATTGGGAGGGATTAGGAAATATGGAGGAATGGAAATAGGAAACACAAGGAAGTGCCATACATAATGCTACATTGTGGGGATTGCAATCAGTGACATTCAACAAATACGTATGACTTGTTGAACGGAAATACCGATTTTCTTTGTACACCTTCACCCAATTCATAATTAAAGGTGGGGGGAAAATTAAGGCAGGGTCTCACTAGAAGGATTCCACACTAAGGTGCAGTCCTAGAGGCAGCAAAAAAAAAAGAAATAAAGAGAAAAATCATACAACCATGAATGGTTTACTTTGTCACTGACTGACTATGGATAAGATGATGTTTCTTTGGACTCATTACAATTCTGGGCTCTTCAGAGCAAAATTAAAATCACCAAACAATCTTAGTCTAAACAACTGAAACACAGTAAGAGAAATAGGTGAAACTTGTTATGATTGTAAGTTCTGTACCCTGCTATCCAAGGTACAACAACAGAGCAGCAGAGGGAGAGGAAAGTCAGGAATAGGAGAAGGAAATGGGATGCATGGCTAACCAAGTAACTTTCTCTGCCATGAAACTTGTAAGAGCTAGATGGTGCCGGGCTACCATTACTGAACATTTTGATTAATGATTCTATAGAAGAATCCTAACCAAAATGGGAAAAATACAAAACGAAATTCAAATTTGCATGGACTGTAGACTTTCTGGAGCCATGGTGGCTGGATAAACCCCTACAACTATTACCCTGAGACCTGAGCTAATATTTAAACCAAAAATATCACTGGAAGTCTTCTTAAAACCAAACAATAGTTTATCTCAACTAGTAAAGAATGTCTGCCTTATATGTTGTACTCTCTTAAAAGTAAAGATAGCAACACTTAGTGGGCAGGGTTTATGTTAATGGGAGGAACAACTCAGAAAAGGAAGGTGAGGATGTGATCAATGTCATTGAACTTTACTAGCAGAAACCAACTGGCATATGTTTTGCTGTTTATATTCAACTACCACAACAAAAACAGAATTTTTTTTTTAAACCAAAGTTCGGTACCATATTTGGTAACAATACCTATTTGTAAACATCTTTTAGTACTAGTACATGTATATATATTAAGGATCAGTTTCTCTAGTCCTAAAGGTTACAAGAGAAAGGCTGGGCTTATGCTTTGATTCAAGCTTTGTTTCCATGAAAGTAACAAGACTGAAGTATTCAGTCTAAAATGGAGCTTTGACTCTCTAAAAGAGTCCTATCAGAGACACAGAACTACCTTGTTGACAAATCTCACCAGGCATTCCTTGGGAGAAAATTGTAACAAAAACACTGACAGCTTAAAGTTCATGCTCCAGTTAACCTATAGACCTATGAGCTTCCAGAATGAAGCACTCAGTTTAGACACAAATGAAAGGCAGTCAGACAGGCCAAGTTAGATCTCTGCTACCTAGGTCCTCAGATCTAAGCTATTATTAGACAGCCCTTGTTTGGGTCAAGGAGGCATGGTGTTGCTGTGGATTACGCAATGGGTTGCTAACCACAAGACTGGTAGTTCAAACCCACCAGCTGATATATGGGAAAGATGAGACTGTCTGTTCCAGTAAAGATTTACAGTCTTGAAAACCTTTAAGGGAAAGTTCTACTCTGTCTTATAGGGCCATTATGAGTCAGAATCGACTAGATGGCAATGGGGTTGTGGGGTGTGTGTGTGTGTGTGTGTGTGTGTGAGGTCATGTAAGAAGTGGTAAGCGGTATGAGTCTAGTCACATAACTACCACAGTGGGTCTTGAACAGCTATTCTAACAAACTGTTAACAGTGAGTGATGTTGGCTCACTTGAGAATTTAAGTTTTGATTAATGCTACCTATACCAGTGGGTTCAAAAGAATTTTAGGTACAATGGACAAGTTTCCGTTGCAAACCTGCCCCAAGGAGCCTTACAATCATAGAAAGAGGTTCTTGCTTCTAAGGAAGACTAGTCTAAACACTATTCCCTAGAGAGGTGCTGAAGAACAGATTTCCTTGTGGACAAAACATTAGGTAGATCTGGGGTTTATTACAATACCAGAGGCCTGCCATTTGTTCAGAAATGGTTTAAGTAGTTACTAGCACAGAAGTGATGATATTTCCAAAAATTAGGTTGGTTAAAAGCATTAAAATAAGAGACACAAAGTTCAAGCTCTAATTAAAATCTGTCCATCTCAAATGTCTACTCAGACTAAGTGACCATGTAAGCATGGGAGAGTGTTGGCCAAGGGAGTTCACTCAACGTTTGTACAAATGATTTCATGACTGATGGCCAACAAACAGAATATTAAGTTTGTTAAGCAGGTTCACACATATTATGTTGTTGTTGTTGATATGTGCCGTGGAGTCGGTTCTGACTCATAGCGGCCCTGTACAGGGTTTCTCAGGTGGGAGCAGAAAACCTCATCTTTCTCCCGCGGAATAGCTGATCGTTTTGAACTGCTGATTGTGAGATTTAGCAGCCCGATTCATAAACACTACGCTACCAGAGTTCCTTCACATATTATATTACTTCACAATTTCAACAGACCTATTTGATAGACATGGAACTCATCCATACACTGTAGATGGGAAGCACCAATTCTTCTATGGTCTTCTTTATTCACTGTCCAGCTTTCGTGTGCTTATAAGGTTATTGATGCTTTTGAGTTATAGTGTTGGAGAAGAATATTGAAAAGTGCCATGGGCTGCCCAAAGAACCAACAGATCTGTGTTGGAAGAAGTGCAGCCAGAGTGATCCTTTGAGGCTAGGATGGCCAAGTTTCATCTCTAATACTTTGGACATATTGTCAGGCAGGACTAGGCTGGAGAAGGATATCTATCATGTTTGCTAGGGTAGAGGGTCATAGAAAAAGAGGAAGTTCCCCCCCAGCAAGATGGATTGGCAAAGTGGCAGCATCAATGGGCTCAAGCATGGCAATAATAGTGAGGTTGGCCTAGGATGGGGCAGTGCTTCATTCTGTTGTACAAAGAGTTGCTATGAGTTGGTACCGATTCGATGGCCCCTAACAAGAATAGCGGGAAAAGCGGTTAGATTTTTTTGCCTAAGGTCATATTACTTGAAAGTCGTAGAACAAGGCACTTGCAGCCCAGGTCTGATTCTGAGTTTAATATAATGCTTTAATGTTTAAAACAAAGGTATGTTTTCAATTGGGTGAGCAAAATATAGCAAGAATTAACAGAGTACAAAGATAGGTCCAGACTAACAACTAAAAGTATAAAATTCTTTAACCTAGAGGATACTATGCTGAGTGAAATGAGTCAATCACAAAAGGTCAAATATTATATTTGCTATAAAAAATCAAGGAGCTCTGGCAGTGTAGTGGTTACGAGTTAGGCTGCTAACCTCAAGGTCAGCAGTTTGAAACTACCAGCCATTATGCAGGAGAAACACGAGACTCCTTCTGCTCCTGTAAAGATTTACAGCCTTGGAAACCCTATGCAGTGTGACTATGAGTTAGAATCAACTCCACAGCTCACCACCACCACTAGAAAAATCAAGAGAAAGTTTATACACAGAAAGAAACACTCTTTGAAGGTTACATGGGGTGGGAGGGGAAGGAGTAATAACTAGAGGGCAGTTAACTGAGGGAAAGAAAAAGCACTAACAACAAGGGGGAGGGCCGCACAAAATAGTCAGGGCAAAGGCAGACATTGGGAAAACACCATTACATATACAATCTTGCAATAATAATAATCATAGCCTACAAGTGGATACAGACATTCCAGCTAAACAGGAGTGGAAAGGTGAATGGAATGCACCCATGAATATATGTAAGTTTGACAGAGGATAATTTCAATGTGCATGTACCTATGCTACAAATATATCCACATATGTGATGGAACATACAGGGGGTAAAATTATGAAAACTTCTTACTCATAACCAAACACCTTAAGGGGGATGAGTTGCTGGGTCTGGGCCTATGGCCTAACATAGTCCATAAAGACAAAGTTCCACATCCTACTTCAGTGAATAGCAACTGGGGTCTTAAAATGTCAATAGCAGCAATCTAAAGTACAACTATTAACTTCTACTCATCCAGAGCAAAGAAGAGTAAAGAAAATTGAAGACACAAGGAAACAATTAGTTTCCAAAATACCAACAGACCATGTGAACCCCAGTCTCTGAGACCCTGAGACCAGAAGAACTAAATGATGTTCAG